AGCATATATGTCATATTTGACTGGTCTGTCAGTTTATACTAGTTTTAATGGGTAAAAAACATAAAAAACAATATTTCTTATCTTCCAAATTTTCAAACAGCAACAAGTTTATTTAATTTAAAAAATTTTCTTAATGATTCTAATAATATTAATATTTAAAACATTGTATAAATTAAAGTTTTTACTATTATAAGAAGGTAAAAGTCAAAAATACTGAAAAATCTACTAAAAGTTAAGCCACAAAATTTGAAGAATTTTATATTTGTGCTGATTATTTGATCCTTTTAGCTGACCTTAAAGATATTTCTCAACTTTAAAAACAAATTGTAAAATTTATCTCTATAATAAAAATGAAAAATGGTAATGAATACAAAGTAACATCAGTTAAGCAAAGTGTTAATGCGCTTAATAGATATCTTTTTCATCATTCATCTATTCCACAAATAAATTTACATGATAAATATATGTTTCCTGATTTACATGATATTTTATATGAAAAGTTGCGTGATCTCCAAGAATAAGGCTTTAGTGAAATATCAGGTTCAGTTGCTATTAATTTCTAACAAATTCAGCAAATTTTACAACATCCTAAAATGGCTACAAATAATCCTGAAAGTTTTTTATATCATTTTTTTTTATTTATCACTAATACTTGCTATACGCAAAGGAGAGCATTACTAACTTAAAATTAATCAATTTAAACCTAATTGAAATGGTAGTTTAAAATTTTTTCATTATATGTCTAAGAATAATCAATATGGAATTCAAGGTGGTCAGGCTCATATTATTTCAATACCAGCTGATGACAATGGATCATATTCAGATATTCAATTGTACTTATCTAAATTCCACCTTTGGCTGATGAAAATTTTTATTTACAACCTAATAATACTTCTTGGTTGAAAACCAATAATTGATACAAGACAGTTCACATAGGAAAAAACAAATTAAGTAACTTTATGAAAAGATTGGGCATGAAATACAAATTGATATTCTTATCAAATTACTTTCTAATCATTCTAGACGTAAAACTGCTACTCAAATTTTACAAGATCAAGAAGTTTCAAAGTAAGCAATTATGCAACTCACTGACTATAAAAGTGTTCAAGATGTTCGAACTTATAAAAAAGTCAACAATTAAATACCTTAAATAAATTGATTAACATTACTGATAGAAAATCAACTTTGATACCAGAAAAAGAAAATTTACAAAGGAATTTAATTAATTATAATAATTCAAAATCGCAACTTCCTCTTCAAGAAATTTCAATTCTTTAAATGAATTACCTTTATTTCATAATTGTACTTTCTCAAATGCTACTTTTAATATTCAAAAATAATTCATTATTATAATGTATAAATAATAGTAAATAATGCAATATAAATAAATAGAAATAACATTTTAATAATATCCAAAGAATTACTTAGAAATAAAATTTATAAATAAAATCTTAATTATATCTAATGTATTACAAATTTTTTTTTATACTGTAAATAAAACATCGAATTATACAATAAATACAATAATACACATTATTACAAATTTAAGTATAAGTTAAACAATTAATAATTAAAAAAAACTAAGTAGTGTAGTGGAATATCATATAAGGAGGTGCTGGGTTTGGTTCTTGAGGTATATAAATAATAATAATGATGAATAATAAGTAGGTGTGTTAGCAAATATAAATAATAAGCTACAACCGTGAAAATATCAGTAAAAAAAGCCATAGATGACCGATTAGGAACCATGGTATAAGTATGAAAATAATCATGAGTGACACTTAGTGCGACAGGGGATTAGTTTAATAATTTTCAACTTACATTATTTTTATTAACAAATTTATAAATGAAAATTTAATTGTAAAGAAAATATTTAAATAAAACATTTGTGATGAATCTTTGAAATGATTATTTTAAATAAACCATTAAACCTTTTGTCAGGAAATGAAGCTTTAGAATTTATAACCTTTATTCACGCTTTATATACGCTTTATATTTAAGCAAATTCATGTTGAAGATATAGAATTTTTTTTTTTTTTTTTTTTTTGTCCAGGAAACCTTTCTTTGAATTGTTGAAGAAATTAATTTTAATACATTAGTTGAACATAATTATGTTAATGTGCAAAATGTCAAATACGGTCGTTGGAAAGTTACATATCATATTGTTTTAATTCTTTCTTACTGATTAGGGAGGCTTAAGTAATCCACGCCGTAAGACGGCACGAATTTTGAGAAATAAAGAAATTTTCGATCGCTGCGCCAAATGCAATCGAAACTGAATATTAAAAAAAAAAAAATAATTATTTTTTAATAAAAATAAAAATAATTTAAAATTACAAAATAAAACTTAACAATGCGGCCATAATCAATCCGACCCCATAAATAAAAAATTAATATATAATCAAAAATAAGGTTTCCTTACCTATAGATCCAGCAGAAATAAATCGTCTAAAAAATTTTTATGGATCCAGCTGAAAGCTAAAGAATAATTAAAACTCACACCGAAACACTTGCAATTTAACCAGACAAGTACCGCCTATAAAAAAAATTAATGAATAAAAATTAAAAAATAAACTTACCAATGCATCTGATGCCGAAAAAATCGCCTAAAAGAAGAAAAATATTATAAAATCAGATCAAATCGACGAATCCAAAAAGAACTGAAATTCAATAATTATCGCTGCTATCGAAGGCAAAAAAAAACACAATCAACCACAAACTGATAAAAAATAATTACCTAATACTTTCAGAAGTGATCAAACCATAAAGACAAGAATAGAACGTAAATATTCGATCGCAAACATCTAATAATATTTTTATTATCGATCTAACTAGATTTAGTTAGGATAATATTTTAGAATCAAATTTCAAACTAGAGGTTGGAACCGACTTAAAACTTTTTATTCGTACGCAAAACATCACATATAATTTAAACGCGTTAAAATGTGAAATAGTCCGAATGATCCCCTACCTATAGTTGCGAGGCAAAACCCTAAACCCATTTTGGAAAAAGTCGAAACTTTTCAGAAATTGTTTCGACAGTTTCGACAGTTCGATGGGTTTCAACGGGTTTCGATGGATTTCGATGGGTTTCGAAAGTTTCGACAGGTTCGATGGATCTCGAAAGTTTCGACGGTTTTGATAACATCTTTGCGGAATTCTAATTAAATTTGACAGGTTTCAACAGGTTTATTGTATCACAATCGTAGAATATAAAAAAACGGGTGGTTTTTTTTTTTGCTTTTAATTTTATTATCTAATGCATCCCATTTAATAATGAGCAGCAATGGAGATGCAAATCGAAAATTGGCGGACGACCGGAAAAAGATGTTTAGAAAACATTTTATAAAAGGAAGCGGAAATGCTCCTGGTGTTATGAAGCAACGTGTAAAGCTTGTACAAAATATGGAATAGAGGTGAACCAGCAAACATTTAGCAAATCATTGCATTCAGGTGGAACCTTCAGTTATTCTTGAATATTTAAATATAACAGTAGCCAAAGAAAATAAAAAAGTAAAGATACAAACACTGTCTATGGAATAATGGATGCCTTTTTTAGGTCCTGTTAAATTAACAATGGGAAAAGTAAAAAGGATTGACCGCGCACTTGTAAAAGCTTTTTACATGTGCAGGTATATCTTGGCGAATTATTGAACATCCATTTTTTAGGGATCTTTTAAAAGAACTTAATTCTGCATATGAATCACCAACCCGTAAACATCTTGCTGGATGCTTATTGGAGAAAGAAAATGTCAATTGTTAATAACAAAAACAATAGAGATTTAGAGCATCAAGAAAGCTTAACATTATGTAAGTATTTTTTTTTTTATCAAAAAATAATATATTTTAACATAATATTATTTGAAAAGCTTTAGATAAAAATCATTTTTTAATTATTACATCTGAACGCAAGGAACAGTTATCAGATCTTTCAAATGAATCTCATACTGGAAATTTTTTAGCTACTAAATTAAAAGAAGTATTGGATCACAAAAATTCTCAGCTATTTTAAGTGATCATTGCTTTAATGACACAAGATATATTGACAATTAAATTTGCTGATCGAATAATTCATTATTGTAATAGGTTGGTTGCCTTTTTTAAAAATCTGTACTTGCAAGCAGTGATGGCAAGTGACCCAAATGACCTCAAATGACTAGGTTATTCGCTGGTCATTCAGAGGTCATTTCAAAATTATCAAATGACCTGGTCATTTGCCATCACTGCTTGCAAGTATATTACAATACTAATAATTAGTGTCAGTTAATTATTCTCTTAACCCTTACTACTTTAAGGAATTAGAACTTTAAATTATATTATATGTTTTTTAATTTAATAATTTTTTTTTAATATTTAATATTTATATTTTTTTTTGATGCTAAATTACATGAAATTATAGCTACAAATAATATTAAAGAAGGTAATTTAAATATTTTAAAAACCCGATAGGCAACTGCAAATGAATGTGTAGCAAGTATAATTCACTTACGGTGGATAAAAGCAAAGGCAAGAACACATATTTTTATACCTTGTTTTGGATTATTTAGGCTAGAGTTTTATAAAGCGATGGAATGCAGAAAAAAATAAATCAATAATTATTACAACTGACAAATCATAAATCCTAAATGTGATAAAATAATAATTTTTGATTAAAATACAGTTGACAATATGGATATTGTTGACGAGAAATTTCGGTTTTAATTTTAATGTTTTGGTAGTAAATGTTGTGTTGGTAGTTTGCAGAATCAATATATTCCACGTTCAACTAATAAGTACATAATTCGGGATAATTTTTGTGATTAGTGGCAAAGGTATGCTAGAAATGTAAATACTCAAATAGGAATACATGATAGATTTAATATTTGTGCAATTTAAACTATATTACAATATATTATAAATCAATTGTATCCTCGCAAATTCACTAAAACATGAATAATTTTAATAATTATTTCTTCTAAAGTATGAATGATCCCATTAAAGATTTCTTCTTTCTAAGTTCTCTAATTAAAGATCTCCTCAGTGAAAGATTTTGAAATATCGAGAATTGCTTCCAATTGTTGTGTAGTGATTAATGCATCAGGATTATCTTTCGTAGTTAATGCCTGATTAAATGAAATACATTAATATCTAGTGATATAGGACATCATTCACTTTTATATAAATACATTTACCTTTGCTAATCTTACAGCCGTCTTAATTTCTCTTCCATTTAAAGGCCTCTCTTTCAAATAATTAATATTCACCTGGGTTTTGCCTTTTCCTTCAACGCGATCCAAAAATGTACGCCATAATTGTTCACGTGCTTATTTATAATTATGAGTATGATTTATCAGTCGAAAGGAACCTCCTTTTCGTCATAAAAAAAAAATACTAGCATACCATCAGCATCCAGTTCATTATATTTCAAGGCAACCGAAATACGAGATGTGAAAGCGGTATCAAAGCAATTTACTACAGAAAATCAAAATATGTGTTAAAATACCGTTGAGGTAAAATTTTCAAAATATCCAAAGATTCTTACCTCGATTTGTTGTCAAGAACAAAATTCCTTGATGGTATTCGAGTAACCTTAAGAATATACTAACTAGAGCATTGCGTTTGATGTCATCTTCACTTCGACGTTCAAGGAATATATCGGCTAAAAAAGATAAATAGGGTAATTGGTAAAGTATCATTTTTGACGAACACCAAACAAGTTCCTTACCTTCATCGATTAATATGACGGCATTCCAAACACTTGCCACATCAAGAATTTCGCTCAATTTAGCTTCTAAATCAACAACTTTTGTCCCTAATTCTCCAACACTAACAGAATATAATGGTCGATGAAGAAACTCGGAAATTGCTTCTGCGGTTAATGTTTTCCCAACTATTGAAGATTATTAATTAGTTTTATGGAACCATCGGCAGACCAATTTCAGCTTAGTTAAAGATACTTACCTCCAGGAGGTCCATGTAATAAAAAGATGCAACCACCACCTTTACCGCTGATAAGATCCACTCCTTTATATTTTGACGTAACAAGACTGAGAATCAGTTCTTTTTTGATTGGATCCATGACAAGTTGATTGAATACATCATCATCAAATTTTACATCTAAAATCAGAAGAATTTAAGAATACAAATCCAATATGACAAATGAAATAGCTGATATGTATCATATACCTTCTATATGTTCAACGTATATTTGACCCCATTTTTTCGCCACAAAACTAAATCCATAACATGAAGGTGCGCACATGAAAAGATCTTCCTCACAGACAGTTTTTACATTATATTTATTATTATGAACATTATTAACAACTCTCCTCGCGGTATCCATATTGTAACTTGGATTAGTTTTGGTGAATGAGACGGTATCAATCATAACGCGGCCTATGGCTTTAAAAAAGACGAGACCCCAAAAGGTAACGCGAAATAAATTGCCGGTGTAATGAAGATAATGCGGACCGATTGCGTATTTCACGAATTTTCTTCCCCGTGTTACTAGCTCGTCGCGAATTGGATTCTCTTTTGGTAATGGAACAACGGAAAGTTCTTCGATTTTACATACACCTTCCCAAGATTCAACAAAGAATGATTTTGTTCCACGAATAAAAGAGACACCATCTAAAAAGATTTCAAATTAAAACGTAAATTTTTTTTTTAAATTAAAATCGTAATATATAAATATAAATATCATTATGCATACCTGAATCGATTACTTCGCATTGAACAATCATATATTCATGATGATAATTACTATGATACGATGCTTTGATTACTTTCGCACCTACTGTATGTTCGTTCCATACTGCGCGTACATGTTGACCTTAAGCATAGAATGTTGCATATTAAAATGCAAAGCTGCTTATGATGAAATTAATATTAATACACTAAAAGACTTAAATAATATACCTTTTGGAAATAGATAAAATAGACTTTTATATGTGATAACATTCTGAAAGAAATAATTTAGAGAAATCAACACAAATATATTCCTCCAAAAAAAAATAAATAAATAAATAAATAATAAAAAGAGAAGCTTATTTGAACTTACTCTGTCGGTCATTTGTTTTATTTGAGAAACTTTAGATTGATACTCCTTTTCAATCCAATCAACCAATGGCTTCAATTGATTATTTATATTATGAGAAACATAATATTCATCTAGATCTTCGTCTTCATATTCATCAAAAATCATGGCTTCCGGTTCGTTTCCAACAGCCTTTTTGAGATCAGGAAAAGCAAGAAACAACTCATGTGATGAAATCTACTTTATTCGAAAAGAAAGCATGTAAAGCTTAGAATGTAGCACCAAAGCATGATGATCATATCATATAATACAACCTTGGGATTGACATCATACAAACTTTCTCCAGGCAATAAATTTCGCAAGTATTTTACAAGAACTTTGTCCAATAAATGAACAATTACATTTTCATTATCACGTACTACTTTAAAAGTATCGGGTACTGTGACGTTTCCGTTAAAGGTATCAGGTTTATTGACGTTCCCGTTAGAGGCATCAGGTATGCTGAATTTTCCATCAGAGGTATCAGGTTCGTCAGCGTTGCTTTTAACGGTCAATAAAGAATTCATTATGCTTGTTGTAACGTTAAGTGTTTGGAAATTAAATTTTAAACTTTTTATTTAAAAAAATCTAAAGATAATGATCGCCAACAATCAAATTCAGTTTATTATCAAATGATCAACCCGATTAAGGATTGTATTTCTAAAATGGTAAGAAAAAGTATCTTCCCTGCGGATTTGCGGATTTTGCTGAGTTGATTGACACGAATTATATATTCTAACCGAGTTGATTTTTTAATTTCAACCGGTTAATTTTTTAACCAATTAATCAAGTTGAAAATTTAATTAGTCAGAAGTGTAAAGAAGGACTATATATTTCTATGCAAGTTACGTTCTTGATGCATTCTTTAAGTAAAATATCAAGACGGGACGGACATCGAATCTACATATTATATTTTACTAATTGGTGCATCAAAAACAACACTTCATACTTAACAATTGTTTCCATTTCTAATCAAAATCTAAAGCCATCTAACTTGAATTAGATAAAAAAACGCAGATTAAAAAAATAAATACCAGATTCTTTGCGCAGTTTTATATAATTCTTCAATAATATAATGTTCGGGTTGGGTTCTGACTCAGGTACTAGTTCAGGCATAGGTTCATGGCGAAGTAGTTCAGACTCGGGTTTTAGTAATATCAGGTTTAGGTACATATGAAAAATAATTTAAATATTGTTTACAATGATTCCAAAATTCCTCCGATAATTTTGGTTAGTCTTTACATCTTATGCGCAGAAATGGCCGGTCACAATTTCAGCCCTGTCATAAATGGATATTATTAATTTTCGCAGTAATCATTGAACTAAAACTAGTAAAGTAGATGTGATAAAATATATTACGGTCGATTATATGACATCATTTCACAGAATGGTTAAATCTTTATCATTAATTTATATATATTTTAAAGCGTAAAGAATCCTTTGCATAACATTAAATTTTAATGTAATTGATCCAAATGGTTATAGCAATCGAATACGTAATAAAACTTTTGGATTCTGTGACGATTGTGATCAACCAAACACTGATCTGATAAGAATTACCAGTGAAAATGAAGACGTCGATAAATTTATTCGAGAAGTTCAATTAAATGCAAGAAATGCTTCTGAAGTTATAGAATTGTTTCCTTATACTAGTTTGCGAAATATACAATACCTTGATGAAGGTGGTTTCGGTACGGTGTATAGCGCCATTTGGTTAGATGGATATATTTATTGTTGGAACGGTGACTATAAGCAAAGATATCGCGATCCACTTATCAAAGAAGACTATGAAAATGCATTGAATGTGAAAATTAAATCACCTCTCAATGAAGATGAAAATGATGGAATTCATGTGGTGTTGAATGTTTGAAAAGTCTTCAAAAATAAATGAAGATTTTTTAAAAGAGGTAACTGATTCCTTTCAATAATATAAACTGATCATTCTATTTATAAATGAAAACTGATAATTTTTACAATTATTGATAATTTAGTGGAAAATTTATATGGAATTTTTTTATTCTATAAATCATAAATATGCCATTTCTTCATATGGAATATCTAAAGACCAGAAACATCCGATTTTATGGTTGTATTAGCAAAAGCGAAATTAGGCAATCTGAGACCTAATTTATTAATAAAGAAACACAATCCATCTGATAAATTCGATAATTTATACTGTTTAACATGCTCACTTTTTGCTTTGCATAATCGCAAATTGTTTTATGGCGATTTGCACAGTGATAATTTACTTTTAATGGAGCATAGAGAGATGTAAATTAGTGATTTTGGATTTTGTAGAACAGTCGATGAACCGTATAATTCAAAACATATTTATGGACAAACGCCTTACATTGCACCTGAGGTTTTACGTGGAAAGCCATATACAACAACTGCTGACATATATTCTTTTGGTGGGAAATGGTTTCATGTATTCCTGCCTTTGAAAATGTTCCTTAAGATTTAAAGCTTGTCTTAGACATATGTAACGGAATGAGACCAAACCAAAAATCTTTGCAGATTCTGAATATGTTGAATTAATGACAAAATGTTGGATTCTGACCCCGATAAAAGACCAACTGCAAAAGAATTATATGATTATTTTTCAGAAAAAAATAATTTCGAACTTTCTCCAACCGGTGATGAAGAACGGAATCATATACTAGGTAATTTATTCAAATTTATATTTTAAGTAATTTGTTAACAAATAATATTATTTTATCTTTAGAAGATGAGCTGATCACTAAAGACAGCACATTACAATGCCATAAAAGCCGAATGCATGATTATAGTGCAAAAGTAAATGAAGAACCAAGTATAAACAGCTTAGGTAATTAAAAATTTAAGATTTATTTAATGTATTGGCTTCATTATAGACAATTTAATTAAACAATGACATATTCTAGATGCTTTATTAATTTCTGATGGTAAATATCTCGTTAATTCTTAATATTCTTAAATTAATTTTTAATATTATGTACATATTTAACAAATGCGCATAAATGGAAAATTGTCGGATCACAATCTAACATTTATTAAATCTATGTATCTATTCCTTCATTTGAAATGTTTTTAGGCGAACCTTAAAATCACATTGTTAAAAAAAATGATTTACAGAAGAATTCCTTTTAAAAAAAAAAAATGATTAAAAAAATTGTTATATTTTTTTAAAAAATAAACCTAAAGGTTCGATGTTAATGTTATGTTTAAATATTTTTGTCAAAAAGCTAAAAACTTTTTTCTAAATTTTTCAATGGCTAACAACCTGGGTTGATTCTACTTAACAAGACGCAATAATGAACCGTTCATAATAATCTTTCGATAATTACTCTTGCTTCTCTTTCTTATTCTACATAATTGCACCTTTAATGATAATAATTATTTCTCCTTTTCCCTTCTTTAATATAAATCCTGCTGTGCATATCGTGTGAATCGTGAGTTAAAGTCTCACATATATGTATCCTTCAATATTGCATATATCTTTTGTGGGGTCGAAGTTATTTAATGTGGATTTGAATTTTCCAATTTCAATTAAATTTTGACTAAAAGTAAAATAATTCATTAGATGGTCAGGAGAATTGCAATTTTTTTGATCAACAAAGCACAAAAAAAAAAAAAAATTCCATCGACCCACTTCTTTATAAATTCATTTTGAATTTCTGAGATTATATCAAAGTGTACTGAATTTTCATAATTGTATTTAATATCATGATATTCTACTAGCATAGCAGCTTTCTTAGCATATTGTAAGAATAATTTTGCCTTGCGACCCATTATTTAGATTTCAATATCGGAATAAAAAATTTCAATCACAGTGCAAGTTTTCAAGTTATAAATACACTAGATTTGTTGTAATCGCTTTCAATTATACCTAATTAAGTAGTTAATATTAGAAACTAGTGAGTTAAAATTTTAACTTCACACTTTAAATGAAAAATTTAAAATTAAATTTAGCAAAATATTACAAAAAAGAAAGAGGTAATTTGAAACATTCCAAGATAATGCGGAATTTTTTTACAACAAATTAAGATAGATAGAATATTTGTGTTTCACTGAAAAATTTAGAAATACCCAAGCCTAAGAACCGCGAGAAGAAAATTCCTCCAAATTTAAAACGAAATAACTGCTGCACCACCAATCAATCGTTTGTTCGATTTCTTATAACAGCTACTCCTCATAGGGTGTGAAACTCGTGATTTTGGCTTTCAAAATTTTAAGATACTTTTTATAATTGGTTCGTGTGCTTTTGCTTCGGTTTATGCTGCTTTAAAGATACGCGAACAAAATTTGCAGTTAAACAATTCGCCGACTAATTATACTGAAGAAATTAACTTACAGTAAATGAATTATTTTTTACTTGTATGCTTTTGATTGTATAAACTTATGATATTATTATTTAGATGGATTACTTTTCTAGATTCTTTTAACGAAAATTGTTGGTCATCCAAATATGGTTGGATTCTGTTGAGTCACGAAATTTGAAGGTAAAATAATTATAATTATTCATTTAATTTATTTGAGGTATTTAGGTTAATATTTTTCATTATATACCGTATAGTCCCGAAAATAAGCACCTCCATTTTTTAATATTACCCGAAAATAAGCATCCCTGAAAAAAATTAAAAATAAAAAAAAATATTTATTATTCCATTATTGTAATATAAAATTTGTTTGAAATAAAGCTGAATTAATACAAAATTAACTGGAAATTATTATTAATTATTATAAAATTATTATAAAAACTCGCCTAATTAATCATTATTATGAATATAATTCATAACTACCATCAATATCGGAAATTTCTAATTCTTCAGGTTTGTCATATAAATTATCTAAAGGATCTGTTATAGAACAACTTACAAAAGAATTAATAATGATTTCCTCAGATATACCTTCCCAAGAACGTTTTACCCAATTACAAACATCACTATATTTAGCGCGTCTAAGATTTCCTGCAGAAGTCACCCAGCACCACCAGCCGCCATCCATAAATGCCATTCTTTACGAAGGTTATCCTTAAATGGTTTGTTAATAGCAACATCAAACGGTTGGTTTATACTTGATAAGCCACCAGGGATAACTGCTAAATCAATAATACTATTATGAAATTTTTCTTTCACGGATTTTTCTAAGTGACCTCGAAAGGAATCATAAACAAGTATTGTTGGTGCCATAGATTGATTATTATTGAGATAATTGATATATTTTATCATTAGATTCGTATTCATCCATCCATTATCTTAGAACCTATTGAAAATATTATACATTTCATAGGATTTTTTCAATCCTAAGGTGAATAACAAATCGATGGAAATTTTCTAACAATTCTTCAGTATGTTTTGGAAGTTTTTGTCTGATTTTTGTACGCCTTCTAAAGAAAGTTTTTACCTTTTCATAAACGCATATAACCAATGATTTTTGACATCCTAAAATTGTTTATCAAATCACCATAAAGAGCTACAATATCTGGCTCTTTCATAATTTCTAACATTTTGACTCAGATGATAGCATAGGTTACAGCTAAACCTAC